GCCAACAAACATATGAAAACCTGCTCAACATCACTAATCATCAGAGAAATGCAAATTAAAATTACAATAACATACCACCTTACCCAAATCAGGATAGCCATTATTAAAAAAGTGGAAAAACCATAGATGCCGCTGTGGTTGCACAGAGATGCAGAGAGAAAAGAACGCTGTTACGGTGGTGGGACTGCAAATTAGTAGAGTCCTCAAAGAAACAAATGTAGTCCTACCATTTGATCCTGCAATCCCAGTACTGGTTATCTACCCAGAGGAAATAAAGTGATTTTATCCAAAAGACACCTGCACTCAAATGTTCATCACAGCACAATTCACAGTTGCAAAGATGTGGAATCAACGTCAGTGCCCTTCAATTCATGAGGGATAAAGAAAATGTGGTATATAAAAATCATGGAGTACTACTCAGCCATAGAAAGGATTGAAATATCAGCCTGAGAAAGAGCCAGATCCAGTCTCTAAAAAGAATAGAAAAATTAGCCAGGTATGTTGGCATGGGCCTGTAATACCAGCTACTGAGGACGCTGAGACAGGAGGATAGTTTCAGGCCAACAGTTTGAGGTTGCAGTGATCTATGATTATGCCACTGCCTTCTATCCCAGGCAACAGAGCTAGACCCTGTCAAAAAAAAAAAAAAAAAGAAGAGAAAAAAAGCAGGAATTAAATAATGTCATTTGCAGCAGTATGGAGGGAACTAGAGACCATTGCCCTAAGTGAACTATCTCAAGAATGGAAAACCAAACACCGTATGTTCTCAATAGTAACTAGGAGCTACTAGATGGATATACATGGGCACAAAGCGCTATAAAGGACACGAGAAACCAAGAAGGCGGGTTGGGGGGAGAGTGGGTGTAGGATAAAAACATCCCCACAATGAACACTATATGTGATGGAGATACCAAAACCCCTGACTTCAGCATTATACAAGATATCCATGTAACAAAACCACTTGTACCACCTTAATTAATATTTTGAAATAAAAAAGCAAGATTGTACTGAAAGTTCTTTTTTTTTTTTTTTTTT